GGTCGGATATATAAAAAATAAGGCGAGTTCAAACGGACAAAGGGTTAAAAAATGTTGTGGAAAATGTTGCAATCTAATTCAAGAGTATAATAGAAATGGTAAATATTAGATTGCTACTTACAGAAAGAAAAAGTATCAATGGACTGATAAAATAGAACTAATTTATTAGAAGAGGACCCAAATTTTCGAGAGAATGTACACGAACCTCAATATACCACTGGTATTTTCGGGCTACACATCCGCAAAAAAGTCACCAGGTTGACGAACTTTGGAATCCGGCAGACGAAGAATATTTTGCAAAGAAGAAGTGTATGGAACAATTCAATTCAAGAAATAATTCAATACCAAACTGGGTAGACGGTCGTACCAGGTACATAAGATAGAAAGATAGCATCAAAAATGAGTTCGTTCCAGACGACCAAGTTCTAGATCTGTTATTAAAATGTTCATTAAACTAGTTTCATGATAATAACGGCCAGGATTTTGCTGTTTAAAATTCAGAATTGCAAAATTTTACTGGAATATTGATTGATGTTATGAGGTTATCATTTATTGAATGGATGAATGAATAGAGCTTCATTTCACATGTAGCAACAACAATACAACTTTCCTCTTAAGCACTGCGTAATTTTCAATTATTTTTAACTGATAAGGTTAAAATAACTTTTTATGCATTCTTACGAACAGGTCTGAAGGATGTTTCTCGGTTAAGACTAGGATCATAAAAATCTGTTGTTCTGAACATTATACGATTTATTCGCGTTACTGCTTAAAAACATTATTTTCTTACGATACAAGTACCTCTACAAGCATCTCTAACCCTACAAGTAGGATCTGTAAATCCCATAATAAGTAATATTCTAATGGTGCGGTCAGACCTAACAAGCGGAGCCCGAGCCAAGCCCTATCCGCGGCAAATTCCTTTGATAGTTCGTCAAAACATAGTAATAATAATTTCCATGGTTATTGTTATTTTCTCCTTAATTTATACTCCAAACATGAGTACAATATGGAAAGTATAAAATAGATACTGGCAATGACACTAAGCAGGTTTTAACTCTTTAACCCCCAATTTAGTACGTCCCTGAATCGAATTGGCAAGAATCTCATATTCAATTTTCTAATTTCTAATCTAAAAAGTGTGCATGCCTACCAAATATCATAATTTTATTTTTAACTGTACATGAAAAATTAAGTAACAACCTATTTTGGGGCCCCACCTTCGAAGGGTCGTACCTCTTTTAACAAGACTATTTGACACATATAGTATTAACATTATCTTCATTTCTCTACGTGTTCCTAAAATGTGACAATCTATTGTAGGTAAACATGGCGAATTTTTGTATCTACTTGCTGTGGAATACTTCCCATCAATAAAATAATATGCTTGTGTCTATATATCTTCGAAAGCGAGTTTGTTTTTTGGAACGAATTATTAAAAGATTCACAAAAAAGAATACTTTGATTGCCTTTTTTTACCCTTGGGACTACATGGGTTAACGATATACAAGGTAAGTAAGAAGTTTATAGGGCTTTAACGGTTGACAGAAAATTCAATTTTAAGATGAAAATATCATACAAACATATATTGAAAACGGCTTCGTTTTTCAAATAGGTACAAGGTGTGTAGGTACAAAGTTAACATTTTAGCTTAATTTTTTTAAATAATTAGCGCAAATCTTAAGATACTGTAATAAATATATATTCTGGGACTGATTGCAATACCACATCCAATCCTGTCCAAATTTTTGCCAAATTTGCATAGCGCGCCATATGGCACTAATATTTAATTAAATAATAATACCTTTTTTGTGCATGCCCATATCAACCTGATTTAAAATAAAATAATTCCGTTCATATTTAAGAAATGTATATCCTTGTTTGAAGTCGCTAACAGTAACCATTTTCGAGATCTTTTCAAAAAACAAAGTAAGAACCTTAAATTTAAAACGTTTAGATTTCTAAAGTATATGTTCAATGATTGAATGTGCTATTGCGAAAAGTCCCAGAATATAAAATTTTATTAAAGTGCCTTTAAGTTTTGCGTGAATTATTTAAAAAAATCAAGTAAACTGTTAGCTTCGCCGCCCTGTATCTTAAAAAATGAAGACGTTTTCAATATATGTTTGTATGATACTTTCAACTGAATATTGCATTTTCTATAGACCGTTAAAGTCCTGTTACTATAAAATGACCCACCCTGTATACCTAACTGTTTCATTTGATACATTTTAGAAACGTATGTGCCTTCTGAAGGAGACTATTGTTGCATTACGGTGCAGTTCAGGTTTAAACTCAAGTAACATTCTTTATAAAATGCCTTTATTGCCCAATGTACATATTCCAAGTGTGATAAGTTTTTTAGGATAATAAAATTAAGTTTGTGCAATTTCCAGACACCCCATATTTTACTAACATTACTGTACATTATATACATTACTATGGGGTGTTAATTTGAAATTTTCCCACGCTTAATATCTTTCTTGCAGTTAAAAACATGAAAAATCGGAGACACATCGATTTTATTTGTAAGGGGACACTTTAGATGAATATTTTTAGCTTTCTTGTTTCAACCCCTAGGAGGGGTAGATGTCACCGTTAGAATCTTATGTGGCAATGGGAGCCAGGTGGCACAACGCTTTAAAGGGCGTTCAATTTTCTTTACATTAATTACTACGTTGTTGCTTTTTGTCCAGAGGTTTTCGAATAATCGGGTTTCAAACTTGCAGAAACATTTAAACTTGCCTGCATTGAGATTTTGGGTTTCAGGTTAGTGTTTAAACGAAAAGATTAGGATTAAAGATTAGAAGATTAGGTTGCATCGTTAAATAATAGGAAGAAAATCAAATGTAAACAATTTATTTCTGATTATTTTACTTCGAGAAAAATAACTTTTAATTTTTTTACAAACTTCTTGTTGGGTATTTCGCCTTAAAAAAAAAGACAGAATTTTCTCACGTCTTCTATTACAGATTGATAAATAGTGCTCCTAGTTTGCAATAAGAACGAATTATTTATCAAAAAGTAATCAAGAACTATCACCTAGAGGGTATCCTGCGACACACTTAGGCTCAAGCTGTAAGAGAAA